TCTTAAACTCACATGGCTGGACAGAGTTAGTAGTACAGAATGTCTCACCTGTTGGCAAACAAAACAGCAAGACTTCAGTATCTGAAGGTCCCAGGAAGTCAGAGGCAATTCTGTCACGTGAAGGGCTTAGTGAGAGGCAAAGGTCAGCTTCAGCGGTCAGTGGCTACACTTCCGTGGCTCCATCATGCCCAGGGCACCACTCTAAAGTTAAGAGGCCTGAATGGTGAACACACATGAAATATTTCCCAGGGTTTTCATGGAAATATTGGAAGCAAGAATCTGCAAATAATCCCTAGAGACCCAGAGAGTTTAAAACATATCAGAGACTATCTCAGTTAGGATTTTCTGTTTGGAACCAACATATTTCAATTGATACAACAGAAGTGAAAACCATCAGAGGAGCAATGAGGCTGGGAAGAGGGGGATAGCTCACAAAATAAAAGGAAGGCAGAAGTATTGGTCAGCTCTGGGCACCTATACATGGCATTTAATAGGACATTAAATACATTGTATTCAATGGACAAAGAAGATTCTCCCAAAGAGGAAATATGTAATGTTTTCAACAATAAAGATAAATTAAAATAAATAAATAAATAAATAAATAAATAAATAAATAAATAAATATCAATAGAAGTACAACTCAAATCTTACAGGATAATAAACTTAACTAATTCCCGCTTTATTTTATTGGAATAGGGAATTGGGAATTTGGAAAGACAAAGGTACTCTGATCCTGATGAGAACACTGGGATTTTACTATACCAGAGCATGTCTTTAAATAGTTTTAATGACCTACTTACCACATATTTTCTACTAAGTTTCTTTATTTTAATTTTAGCTCTAGTAAAAAAGTATGAACTGAATTGAGTTCATTAAAATGAAACAGAGCAAGATGAATTCATGTGGACTAATCCAAAATTCCCAAACAATTTTCTGAGGTCTGAATCATGGTTAGAATTTGAGATTGATCCTTTTCATCTGGGCTGAATTATACATTTCACACATGAACTAACTCACAGATCATTCTCTTTTCCACCAAATTCTAGTTTGTGATTTCCTTGCGAGCATTTCTGGCATAGTACGTGAGAAATAGCTTTTTAAAAATGTATGGGAAATTAAGTATGGACTAGAGAGAACCACTTGTGTGGACCCATGTAGCTACTAATATGTTTCAGGAAAAAATATGTGCCGAGAGTCAATATTCACTGGGTTCTAGTCAAACTGGAGCCAGGAAGAACTATTTCTGTCTCCGAGTTGAACTACATTGGAAAGAGCAAGCAGCAATCTTTGCAGTTTGGCACAGGAACAGGAGTGAATTGTTGACCAAGGCTGAGGCAGGCTCGTGAGACCAGAATTGCTGGCTCAATGCTGGCAAAGGTCAATGTCGAGGGAGATTGGTCCTGAGCTGCATGTAACCTGGCCTTGGGGAAGGAGCCCTGATGCAAGCAGGCTCCTGCTCAGATACCCTCAGTGCTTGATTCCTGGAACAGTCAGCCTTGCTTCTGGGCCTGCCTGTGGATGCCGGTGCACAGTACCGTGTCTAAGGATTCATCCAGTGTCCTTCAGCGAGGTTCTAGGCAGTGAGGCTGATGTCCTCATGACCCCTTAATTCCGTGGGAGGAGCTGGCCTCTGTTCTTTTTTGTGGTACCTCAAAACCACAAAAAAGCAGGCAAAAACAAGTAGGCACTAAGTAACGTTAGCCCGTGATTATGTGGTCCAGTGGTGCGCTGTGAAGGTCCCTGTAGTTCTGTAATAGGTTCTGGTCTCAGTTCTGTTTTATACTTTGTTTTCATAGCCATTCCTGATTGGCTGGTGGGCATATTTAAGATATGGTCAATTTGCCTCTTTCTCTTTTATTAGTGTAGATTTGGTCCTTGATAATCTCATGACCTGTGCCTTTAAATCTCTTTTATATACTGAAGTCTACCAACAGTTTACCTCCAGCTCAGCATCTCCTCAGAACTCCTAACATATATCTTTAAAATGTCTAAATCTAAACTCCTTTTGTTCTGGAACCTCCCTCCTCCTGTCTTTTCCATCTCAGTTAATTCAGGGTAGGTGGATTTACCTTGGGAACATTCTGGGCTTTTTTCTTTCATATCTCACACCAAGTCAAACATAATTCTACCTCTAACATCACAAAAACAATCTAGTGGCCGGCATTTTAGTGCTAAAATGAACTACTACTACTATATCATTTAAAGACTCAAAACAACAGAAATTGTTTGCAATCAGACACCTTTATTTTCTATGTTTAATTTCTTACAATCATTTTGGAAAAATAGTTGTATCTCCAAATGTACTTTCACTGACAAAAGCTGGTATGACCAAACATTTTTTGAAGGATTTTGGAGAAAAAGTCTTAGCTCTGGGAAACAAGTTTACATTTTACAATACTTTACACAAGATTAAAGGTGAGGTCCAAAGTCAGAAGTAGAGGCCATTCTCCTTCATTGAATCAACAAAGAAGAGAGCCTTTGGCATTAGAGATCCAAATTTATGAGATTTTAATCCAGTTTAATCCATTTGAGGTGGCCTCAAATGTGAAAATGTGTCACATTTTTAAAAACATATTTTTTGAAGAATGCATTTTTAACTTGGTTGGTATCCTCTTAGACATTTTGAGGTTTACTTAACACAACATTCTATCTGCTTATCATTCAAATTTGGACACAGGGATTATTTGGTGTACTATGTGAATAATTAAGGAAGCTCTATAAATAAACAGATAAATTTTGCTCAACTTCTACCCTTCCATAAAGCCTAATATAATTGAAATTAACCTACTATTTTATTATCATTTAATATGTTTTTATTAGAAAGGGTACACAGCATGTGAAATTACAGGATTTCCAGGAGTTAAAGACAAATTTAAGAACTCTTAAATAACATTTGCAATGTAAACAACACAGCTTTTACATTAGCTTAAAATAAATCACAACAATCACAACACAGTATTTTATTTGGTCTCAATATTGAAGATGTTTTCTTAAATTACTACTTATGTAGAGCTCAAAATGTAATTACATCATCTATGATTTTTCTTCAAGAATCTGAAAAAGAAACAATTGGTATGTTAGCATAAAAGTATTTTCATTGACAGCATTTTAATTTCATTCCCTTATCTTCTCATTCAATAAACATCTCTTTCTCTTTGCCCCTTGTCAATAGTCTGTGATGGGATCATGTTGTGGGAAATCAGGAGCACATCTTCCAAAGGACTGATGGTTAGAAATGGCACAGGGATGGGAAGGGGCTCTCTGGTCAATAGGTAATTTGTAATTTTCACAGATGGCTGACCCACAAGATTTCTTGTGAAAAAGAATTTGTCCAAAACTACACGTTAAAATAAAGAATGGAAGATATAATCTCATGCATAATCTTACATTTAACAAACGACATGGTGATTAGCCCTCTTCTGTGTTTAATGTCTGCTGGCTGGATAATGTCATGGAGAGGCCTTCTTCTTATAAACAGCTTTTCAAGAAGCCACATGGGGTTACCTTTCTCTTTTGAGCAAAGGGACTCATTTCTCTGAACTACACATTTATGACCATGAATGGGCATGTGCCACACACACTGACCAGGCATGTCCCTTAGAAGTGAAGGGTAATCAGTGGACACAAGTCACCAATTGTGCAGGTGTCTTCGCACACACCCTGCCACTACTGAGGACTCTCATAGAAACCAGGACTGAGGTAAGACAATGAGTTATACTCTTTCTAATCTTAGGTCTACTTTAGTCTCCTTGACCCCTTCAGGGTTGGAATCTAGCCTACCTTCATGCTTTAGAAATGAAGTTTTATTGTAACACAGCTGCTCCCATTCATTTTACATATTATCTATGGACAATTTTCTGCTACAGAAGCAGGCATATATTTGAAAGAAACTATAGAGATTACAAAACCAAAAATATTTACTCCACAGCCGTTAGAGAAAAATTTTGTTAATCTCAAGTGGTCATGATGTAAAATTTCTTTAAGCACTTGCCAAATATTGTAGATTTATTTTATTAGCTATTATAAGCATTAATGTACTCAGGCAAAAATATTAGCCTTGTATTTATATACATATAAAAGTAATTGTGTTAAAAACTTATTATATAACAAAGAAAAAACCTATTTGTGTTTTCTCTATTCAAAAATTATTTTACAGTGAATACTACTAGAGTCATAATACACTTACTTTATAGATTTTAAAAAAGCGGTACTTAACTTTTGCTGCCTGAAGCTTGCTATGTTTCAAGGAATACAGTGAGACCCAAAGTGCATTGTATTTTCACAAAAACAAACCTGTTGTAATTTGGGGGCATTTCCCTGCACTTAAATTGAATAAAATGCTAGCAGTCAATTGTGGAATGAAACCCTAAATTAATAACAGCAGCCTGGCTGGATGCTTGATAAGAACACCAGTTTTCCTCATTAGTGTGAGTCAGTCTCTGCTGTTTTAAATCTTGACAGAGGGTAGGAATATGTCTGGGTAAACTAGGAAATACAAAACTGTATACTAAATTGTGATTTTTCTCCGTTATGTAATCAGAACCTGCAGGAATCATTTTAAGCTGACTACTGGCCCATGGTTCGCTTCTGGTAGGAGTGTCATTCTTTTTTTTTTTTTTTAATATATTTTATTGATTTTGTACAGAGAGGAAGGGAGAGAGATAGAGAGTTAGAAACATCGAGAGAGAGTCATTGATCAGCTGCCTCTTGCACACCCCCTACTGGGGATATGCCCGCAACCAAGGTACATGCCCTTGACCGGAATCGAACCCGGGACCTTTCAGTCCCCAAGCCGACGCTCTATCCATTGAGCCAAACCGGTCCCGGCAGGAGTGTCATTCTTATAGGAGGTTTCACTGTGAACAAATCTAGGATGTCTCTTACCAAGGGGCTCTTACCTACTGAAATAGCTGGGTGATTGCTATAAAAATATGATAAGAATCCACAGATATACACACCATTGGGTCGTTTCCACCAGCTTTCCTCAAGGACCCTTTTCATCATTTTTCTAGCTCTTCAAAAATGTCAGGGTATTCCCCCTCAGTGCTGTAGAGCAGAAAGAGAAAATTGTGCATGGTAAGGCTCTTAGACAAGAAAGCATCTAAACAAATGATACTGTAGAACCTATGCTATTCTCTGGGCCCTGTAAAGTGCTCTGGGAGCGAAGTAATTATTTTTCAGTTTAGTTCTTACCTGTGAATGATTTTTTAATTTTTAATTTTAAGGTGTCTAAAATCATTCCTACACAATTACAATCTGATGGGCAAAGAAAGTCATCTTGTATGGCCTCACCCAGTCAGGGTCATCCTTAATTATACTCACATTCTAACCAAAAATAATTGGAATAAAAAGAGAGCACCCCACTTCCTATTTATTGTGCTCCAATGTCTACACACCCCAGACCGACTTGGGCTTTACTGAATCTCAGAAGACAAAATAACTCCGATATAATTGGTAAAATAAGGGAATTGAAGTTCTCATACAGGGAGTTCCATGTGACATCGAATTGCTAGTGGACTGTGCTTTCCATGGTTAAAAAACAGCTATTTTGTTAAAACTTGCTTCCAGATTCAAAGAAGATGTCTCTATAGTCCTCAATTTTAAACCTGGAGACACAATAGAATCAACCAGGGGGCTCTGAAGAGACCCGTATGTCTAGAGCCATATCCGTAAAGGCACTCATTCCTGGCAGTGAGTTTGGGTAGGGCTCTGTCCAGAGTTGTCTGATGACAGCCAAGCTTGAGAATTACTGCTTCAGAGGATAGATGCTGAGATAGAGGGATAGGGAGGTTCCCTCTGTAGCTTCTATTCTAAAAGTCCTTTACAAGTTCTTGCTTTAGCAAGTTGAGTTTCTTTACCTCCTCTTCCCATTCAGGATTGAGTTCAAGTATTTCTTCACAGCCATTTGTTTCCGAAGGCGCGTATAGTTGTCAGTGAAGACTGCATCTGAATGGCGTTTGATTGGCCCCTGGCCTTCTGAGATGTCATTGCTAAGCAATGTGATGGAAATAGAATCAATGATTTTTTGCAAGAAATTATAAATATACCCCAGTTCCAATTTTTCTTGGTGTCAAATAAAAATGAATTCTAACACCCAACTCATTTTCTATGACAAAAAAATACATAGGAAAAAAATACCCCTAAGCCTAAGGGTGAGAGAGTGAGAACTAATCCAATATATGTTGGCACTTACGGGGAGTGTCTTAAGATACGTTCAGTACCAAGTGGGCAAATGTTCTATCAAATCATAGGGGGATGTTTAAAGTTTGTTTTCTGCCACTGGGAGGAAAAGTTCTTTATAAATTAATGCTTCGTGAGGAGCTATGCCACCTGAATAGTGCCATCTAAATATTCAACTATTGGTCATTCAAAGAAAGAATCTTCCAATGCGTGGTTTGAGCAGGAAGTTAAAAAAAAAACTATTATGATTAACCTTAACATTTGCTTCAATTTATACTATGTCTTATTTATTTTTTACTGTGTCTACTTCAATTTGATTGCAGATTTACAAATGTTTGCTCCTAAAGGAAAATAAATGTGTCTAGAGCCAGTGAGAATTTTATATAGTAAGCCTTATTTCTTTAATCCATGGGACTGGTATATTTTATTAAAGAATATAAATTATTTTTTAATTAAATTAAATACGATTGAATTTATAAATGTGCAACAAAACTAGTAGATTATTAACAGTGCAAATATAATCCTCAGATTAAAGATCATAATGTGTTTGATAAAATAATAATTTATCTTTACCCAAAGCGTTTTCCAACAAGAGACTCAAGGTATTTTTTGGCAGAAAGCTGACCCAAGAGTTTGCTGTAGTCACTGGTGAAAACTCCATCAGCATGTCTAGTATTCCTAAAACAAGAAAGAAAGGATAATCATTATTTTAAAAATGATTTTTCTAAAATATTATTTTGGCTCAATCAATAAGAAAGAAATTAATAAACTTATGAAAGCTCCTTATAAAAACTTAAGTCCAAAAGGAGATTTTATAATAATTTAATTAGATTTTCTAGCTTCCTACTATCCCATATTTTTTTCACCCTCAAATTTTGAAAAGCAAAGAAATTAGCTTTTGTAGAAGTATATATCAACATTAAATAATATTCCCTGATAGAATCTATAAAGCAAATTCTTCTCTAAGAAATATCGGTAGGAAAAATATAACATTTGAATTAGTTTCCACTTATTTATGGTGCTTTATTTCTCCTACCCTTAATAATGACAGATATAAGGGGAAACAATCCTGATTGTCACCCATATTATGTCTTTTGCTATTTCTTCTGCCAGTATTTGGAAACAAAATCCTTTAAAAGGGAGGAGCTTAGGGGGTTTATCAACCAACTTTTCTATTCAAATGAGAAAATGTTTTTCCTTTGTCCTCAGTAGAGATCTATACTGTCTATACTTCAATGCTGCCCTTGACAAATGTCTCTGTGAATGTAGATTTTATTATTAGACATCGTATCTTTCTATGGACATGAAACTTTTAAAAAATATATATTTTATTGATTTTGTACAGAGAGGAAGGGAGAGAGAGAGTTAGAAACATCAATGAGAGAGAGTCATTGATCAGCTGCCTCTTGCACACCCCTTACTGGGGATATGCCCGCAACCAAGGTACATGCCCTTGTCCAGAATAGAACCCGGGACCCTTAGGTTCCCAAGCTGATGCTCTATCCATTGAGCCAAACCGGTTTCGGCAGGACACAAAACTTTTGCCTTAGAAATGTATCTATCCTGAAATCCTAAATGGGAAAATTTTCCTAAAATTGGTGCAATATCTGATGTTGGCATTTTGTGCAACAAAATGCAAGTGAGTGATTAGTTCACCCTGGCTTATTCCATGTTACAGGCTCTGCATGCAAGTCATGTACATAAATGCGGCTGGAGGAAGCCCTGGCATGAGGAAATATGCAGTGTTGCTCTGCAGAAATGGCTTCATGGAAGCACAAAAATAAAACACTTATAATTCAAAATAATTCAAAAATGTCTTTTCTAAAAGACTACTTTGTAAAAGTGAACTCACCTAGATGCATCATAATAGGGTGTGCCGTTTTCAGCTAAGACATTTTGCAAGATGTCAGTGTCTACTTTTAATGAAGCTTGGTCAGGTTCATCTTCTCCCTCATAGGATATTCTGTCACCCAACCTATCAGGGGAGAAATATAATACATTATTTTATCAGAAGTTTGTGCTTATGCTTATAAATTATTTTAAATAAGATACCCAAAATCTTGTGAAGCATTGCCTATTCACAAAATATGTATAGTATATCTGATTTAAGGCTTCAATGGTTTATGAGAGTGTAAATAATAACATTTTATTTATCCCATAAAATAGATACCATCCCACTTTTATAAGCTGTATGCATCAAGTGTGATAGCTACTCAGTTCCATCCCATCAGGACATTAAGCAAAGTATACTTCCTTGGTAATATCTTCAGGTTGCAAAGTTCATAAGCATAAATTTCATAAGTACTTTGAAAACATTTAATATTCAGTATGAAAATGGTGAGCAAATTGTACGTTTATTGATGTTTTTGAAGAAACTTTTCTCTGTATTGAAGAAACTCAAAGAATCTCTACGTCTCTGAATTCTTATTCAAATTTCATTAATTCTGTGGGGCTTTTGGTTTCTAACCTTATGTATTTCTGGAAAGGCTGTACAGTACTTCATTGAAACCCCAAGGATAATCATACCTATACATGGCATATTACTACATTTCATAAATGCATACACATTTTGAACACCAGCACACTATTAAAACTCTCTGTATGTTTTCTCTGTTAGGGGAAGCCTCTAAGGAATGTGTTGGTTCCTGGGCACTTGTGTATCTTTTGGTGATGTGGTAACTGGTAGTCAGTAACATTCTCTTTGAGAATGAAGCCTAGTAATCAATGCAAACGCCGGCATTCTTGTGATTGTTCATCTGTGATGCTATAACCATTCAATCAGAATCATTCCACTTAGTTATCAAAGCAGCAGAGGATTGGCTTTAAGCAGACCTTGTGAAGAACGAAAGTTAGTGCCTATTTATAGGGCCCTTAGGTATAGGACCAGAGGAAAGTTTAAACTAATGTAGTTTTAATTGACCATTTATTTCTTTAAACATACATTCATTTTATTTCAGATAAAGCTTTAAATGAGCTATATTACAATCTATGAACTTAAAATATAAAATACCACACAAAGAGAACAGTAAACACTAAGAATTTTTAAAAACCAAAACCACATATATTAAGTTACTCATGGGGCAAGAATATCTTAATAGATCAATTATTCACAATTCTTAATATTAGCAAATGAATTCTGCATTGATAGAGCTTTCTCCAACATGATTCTATATGTATTTTTATAATCAACTACTAACTTATGATTGTTTGCTGACTGATCTTAAAAATGAATGAAAATGAGGCATGCAACAAAAGTTCTATTTTCCCATCAGATACTGATCTGAACTGAGATGCTGTATGAAAACTCATTCCTTATCTAAAGCTGCTTTTGAATGAATGGAAAGTCAAATTCTCCTTCCACCTTGTTTGGAGATGTGACCTATCCTATCCATGACACTAGCCAGTGACGCTATCTCTCATGCCCTGAGAGTGATGCTGGGGCCCAGGCTAATCATGGGCACCTGGTGTTGAAAAAAAACCTGCTTAACTCATCAACCAGATATTTAGTATTTAAATAAGTAACAGGTAATTTTTGAGAGTTTGAGCTGTCCAAAACCCCAGGTAGAAAGTCCCGGTTTAGATGAAGGAATGTCCAACCTTCTGAATTGAAAAAAACAAAACAAAAAAAAACTTACCTCATAGCAGAAGGTGCTCCGAAAAGAGGCCACGCCAATGTTTGAGAGAAGAGCATGCTAGAAAGGAGAAGGAGCAGGAGAAGTTGGGGTGTCCTTCTGGATTCCATCTCTGCACCTCGAAAGAGAGAGTCACTTCAGACTTCCCATCCACGGACCTCACCTGCTCGTGATTGTGAGTGTCCAGCAAATACTGAAGACTCTTGCACAGAGTTTGGAAAAAAGTCATTTTCATCTTATAGAAACAGTTAAACTGTAATAGTATTGCTTTTTAAATGAAGAGGATTTCTCTTGGTGACGGGCACTTGGATAAAAATTAGGATCCTTTTGAACTACTTCCTAGCTTTTATAGTTGGCCCAAGTATATATTGATTGGCTTACTCTCATCCTGTTGGAAATAGCCCCTGGGACTATCTTCTATTACTAAGTGATAGTATCAAATTTTAGTATCATTTCTAACAACTGCAAAAAGATGATTATTTTTCCTACTTTAAGATTCTGCATCTGATTAATATAAAACTAAATTATTTTACATTTTATAATGAACATGTACATATAAATGTGTATATATAACAGTACCGGTAACATACTTCCTTAAGCCTGAGTTTGAACAACTTAACACAATTACTGGTGAAAAGTGAAAATTGGTACCTCCCCCCCAAAAAAAAAATTTTTTTTAAACCACATATCACTATTGACCTAATTTTTTCCACAGGGGAAAAAAAAACTAAAAACAATGTGTGGTTTTAACATGTAATCCACTTTCACATTTTATGTCTAAATGGTTTCTAGATAGAAACTTAAAACTTCATGATCTGTTCTCTTGCTCTCTATAAAAATCACAGAATTTCAATTTAAAATAAAGAGGAAGATAAATTCTTCCTAGATTCACATAACCAACATATGACAGAGAAAGAACAGAACTTACAAAATAAGTTTGAAACTTCAAAAACAAATGTACCCACTGAGCCCTTCAGTCAAAAATTTATATACAAACAAAAAAAGGAAACACTGCTTGTATACATTATTTTCAAAAATAGTATCGAATAAAATGGCAAGCAGGAAGACCATCTTTTAAACAAAAGAATTCAGAAAGTTCATGCATGCGTTATAAATTGAGGCATTTCTACCCTTACCAGGTGACTGAGAAATTCCTGTTTTTGTTGTTATAAGGAAAGAACACTGTAAAAAATTTTTCCAGAGAGAAAAAAATTCAATCTACCCTGAGAAAAGTCCCAGCTACAGAGAGGGATCAAAAGAAGAAAGCTATCATTGTCACTAACCTTGCCTAGGAGGGTTCCTGAAGAGCCTTCTGTTCCACAGACTGTTGGAGCTGTCTCAGGTGCTGAAGTCCCGTGAATCCAAGAAAGGCTCCACCAGTTAGTTGAGTCAGACCTTGTACTGGCTAAGGGTTATTGCCAGCAGCTGCTTTCACTCTACCCTGACTAGCATTTCAAAGCCCATCATTTTATAGGGCTAGTACTCAGGGCTGAGCAATCACAAGACTCCAAAAGACGTCACAGCAGCTCTCCCACAGGATGAATAGAGCTTGAAATTCTTATCTAATTTCTGATTTATATAAATATATAGTGAGCATCTTCATGACGTAAAAGAGAGGAAATTTACTTTCCTTTAAACAAAAACAGCTATTAAGTTTAATGTGAAATAGTGTAATCTTTAATTAGCAGTAATGATGTAAGCAAATGAATTTGCATTATAGTCAAGGACATTGAGGTTCTTCCAGAAAACAAGGATTTTATGTGCAGGAATAGGTTTAAAAAGCAACAAATACTTATGGTCATTTTGCTGACAAATGTATAATTTTATTTTATTACAAGTCATCAATTCTTCTAAAGCCTTTATTTTATTTTTATGCTATTTGTGTAGATCCTAATTCATATATTCTTTCTTGATATCCTAATTTTTAAAGCATCTAAAGCTAATTCCTTTTTATTTTTCCATTGCAATAATTTCTTTATGTTGAAACTTTATGTTAATCCCAGTATAAAAGTTTCAGAAAGACCCCAGGCTAGGGTAATACACACTCTGTAGTAGAAGATGATAGTAACACTGCTATGGGACATTTCTATAGAATGTCATCATTTCCAATGCGCTTTCACAGACACAATCTCAAATTACTTAAAAACTAAATTATCAGACTGTCTACCTCAAGGAATTCAATTTTTCTTCTTTTTCAAAATTTTTACTCATCATTTTTATAAATCTTTGCACTGCATACAATTACTGTGCTTCTCTCCCATTCTCCGACACACACCCACACCCACACTAGCTTTTGAACATCTCCAACCCAATCATTTGAAGATGGTCTCAAAGAACTGGTTAGAAAGCATGAAGAGAGTACTGTGTTTTGATACATACTTAATTTCTATCTATAGGTTTTTAATTCATGGTAGTTTGGCTTACATTTAACCATAGTTCAAGGTAAAAAAAAAAAAAATACAGCCACATGAACATCTTTCCTTGTATTTTTTAAAACTACCAGTGCACGTATTCTTTTACATTTTTTATCTTAAATTTATCCAGAGAGAATGACTCTAAAGCCATGTTCTTTCTTGTATTTTAAGATTTTAGTATCTATTTGGTTTGTTCAAAGTCAGACTGATTCAGTAAAAGAATATCCTGCTATGCTAATCATACTTTCTAATCCAGTTACAAGAAAAATTAAATGAATTAAACTTCAAAATGGCTGGAAATTTGTTTCCCAGTTGACAGCTCTGACTTAAACCAGAGTTCCTGTGCTTAATACCAGGAAATCATTTTTACCTGATTATTACAAACAAAAGGTTGAAATGATTCTCATATGGAATTTTTTATCCTTAGATCTTTGTCACCCAGTTCTCAGTGAAGCAATGTTATTTAAGTACATCAACAGTAAAGTAAGTTGATTGTGAGTTACAGAAAAACTGATGTTGAGTGATAAGTAGAAAATTCTGAAAGAAAAAGAATAGAAAGTGATGGTTATTTCATCAAAGGAAGTATTTAGCTTTAACAAAAAGTAACTATTGAAGATTTTTCTAATGGTAAGGACAGTTTCTCCCATTAGAATAATAAAACACAAAAATAAAAAGAGATACTTTGTTTTTTTACCTCAAGATGAGAAGAAAACAAAGGACTTTATTTTTCCTATGAATATACGGTAGAAAGCAAAATTGAATTTTAAAATGGAATCATAGCACCATCTGCAGGTTCAAAAAGTTAATCCACAGATATGTTGTTTTTTTCTTCTCTTTTTATTCAAAGAAAAGGATGCAAACCAGAGATCCTTTAACCAGATCCATTATGGATGCTTCCAGAAAAATAAGCATAAGAAAAAGTATGTAGTTGAACTTATACTAAATACTTTACTATGAAATTCAGTAAATACAAAAAATACAAATGTGAATTTACTGTTTAAATCTGCTTTTCCTCAACTTTGACATATCTTTCAATATTTTTCACACATATTTAACAAAACTTCTTTCCAGCTTAAGGCTCCTCAGTAAAGGGCTGTTTATAAGAACTATCATTTGTTCATTGTGCCAGAACAAATCTCTAAGATTCTCTGGGGTTAATTACAAATTGGGATTGAAAATTTAATCATCTAATCTTCATTTAACTTATTTTTTTGTTAAGAACTGGTGGTTTACTATACTTGTTGTTGTCATCATTGTTGATGCTAACAGGTCAGATAAGGACAACAAAAGCCCATAAAAATATTGACATCTTCCCTCTCTCTTTCTCATCAACAGGACCAAGGACAAATTAATAGAATTTTCATTCTATCGATAACCCAAAACTTACTGAGTATAGGCAAATGTGGTGAAAGGGATTTTCAAACTTAGGAATCAGAAACTCAGATTCACCGTTTCTTCCTCAGTGCAAAGAGATAATAGAGGATCCTTATCCTATAAAAATCTAATATGCTAAGTGTCCAGTCAACCATTCAACCAATCAAAGTGTAATATGCTAATAATATACTAAGGCTGCTCACGTACTTGCTATAACGTGCAATGACCACCAGGGGGCAAACAGTCAACCTCTAGGTTAGCTTGCTGCTGGGGTACAGTCAATTGGGACTGAGTGAGATGGGCCAGACATGCCCTGGAGCCCTCTCATGGTTTGTCGGTGGCTGGCCAACCTCCTGCATCCTTTTCCAGCCCCAATCATGCACTGGTGGGGTACCTTGGCCTGGCCTGTGCCCTCTCCCAATCCGGAACCCCTCAGGAGATGTGAGAAAACCAGTTTCAGCCCAATCCTGCAGGCCAGGTTCTGGGACCCCACTGGTGCACAAATTCATGCACTGGGCCTCTAGTTGCTATTATAGATGAAATACCTCAGGGTGCTCTTTGGCCTCTTTGAGGGACAGCTCTGTCTGCCTTTAAGCCTAATTCACACTCAGCCTGAAAGCTACCCACTGCTTTAGAGGTGGCAACAGCTTCCTGCTGAGGCTCGTCCATGGGTCTTTTGCCACCTCATTGGTTCTAAATATCCTTTAAACTCTTCTTCCATTAACCTGTGGAGGCAGATGTTTGTGTCCAGCTGGGTCTCTAACTTATGCACTCTTATTCTTCATCCCAAATCATACTTTTAAGAACATCTGGAGACACTTCATTTTAAGATTCAGTAGTTTTAGATGGATTGACTGCTCGTTTCTAAAGTTTTAAGTTTTGTTTTTTTTTATTCAAATTGTGAGATTGCATCAAATAATCAACATGGAAACTTGGAGGAAGGTCATTCTAGCCTGGAGCACTCTGTCAGGTTTTTGAAGATTGTGGCTAAAATGGCTAAAACACAAAATGGAAGCCCATGCAGATGCATGATGTTACTCAAGTCTCTATAGGAAAAGAGGCTGGATCCATTGCTAATATATGCCAGGAGGAAAAGTCAATGTGCTGGCAGAAGCTAATATCAAACCTTGATCTAGTCTTAGCAGGGAATAGCAGAATGGCCCTGGGGAAAAAGATCTGAGGCAATTGCACCCTCCACCTCCCCTGGGCTCCTGGCGCCTGGTCCTCAGGGAAGAATGCCTCACTGTCTAGGAAGCAGGAGATGTGGCTATTGGACAAGCTCCATTTTTTTCTTAATCATTATTCTGATATCCTGTGTCTGT